GAAGTTTTTACCTTTCATAAACTTGCAAAGCTAAGAAATCTTGTGTTAAAGCTCTTAGACCTCTATATTTGTGTTTCTTATTAATATTTCTTTTTTTTTTCTTGTATTTTTTTCTCCTGTCCTTTTTCTACCTTTTCTTCTCTAAACTTGAGGGGTATTTATAAGATTTTAGGAGATTTTGAATTCATTTATGACCTTTTAATCTTGAAATAAAAGTTGTAAACCTTTAATAAGAACCAATTTAGGAGCCTTTTTGTGTGAACACATGAAAACTAAATTATTTTGTGCATAATGGTTGCACTATTAGGGCTAGCAAGTTGCCCACTCTCGAGGCCTCTTCAAAGCAATTATGACACCATCATCGCATATGACCTCCTGAAGGTTGTAAAGAGGGCGGCTCACCTTTTATTTGGTTCCAAATTTATTCAATTTGAAGGTATATAACTCCATATCATGTGTTTAAAGTTACCAACTTGATCAACCCGAAATCTGAAAATTGAGTGATGGCTAATAAAGGACAAGATATTGGGACTTCTATGGATAAATTATAAGCATTGAATTTTATGGAAATAGAGTTGTAGATGGGATGTTCTCTTCCATTTGCAAAAAATCTTAAGTCATTTAGAGGTCTAAAACTCTACAATGAGCTCTTGAAAGGTGTCAACTTGATCATCGTCAACTACCAAAAAAGAAGATGAACAAAGGCTAAATGATATATCGTCTAGGTTAAATCTAAGAAATTAGGTTAGAAAAGGTTATTTTCAAGTTCAAATTATTGCAACAATGAAGAAGTTGGGATCTGTCCTACAGTCAGACACTGTTTAGTGTTCAGCTCATATCTCAAGTTCTAAAAGTCCACATGCACCAATTTTTTTAAAAAGAAAGCTGAGACAATTGCCTAGATCTTTCATGAAGATTATCCCTTCAAATTCTGATATTATCAAATGATGTTATTCAGACAAGAAGATAAAGATTGTCACAAAGTCAAAAGGTAATCACCTATTCTACAATTAGTTATCAAATTAATAGTTCTGAATTTGGCCTATAAAAAGAGGTATTTGTCATGTGTTTAGGCATCTTAGTGTTCAGATCAAGGTTACTCTCTCTTTGTATTTTGTAATGTTTAAGTTTTATTTTATGTTATATTAACCTCTTATTTATGCTTTTCATTTCCTTTAATATACTTAGTTAACTTATATCATGTTTATGTTCTTATATTGTTTTTTTTTTTTTAGATGTTTAGCTAAGTTAATTTTGTCAAGGTGAAAATGGTACGTTAATGGTGTAAAAATAAATATAATATGAACTTAACATAGACTTTAATGTTTGATACTAACATATTTTGTATTTGTTATATTACTCACTCTTAATACCTTGCTTGTTAGATGATTAATCTAAATTTGTGTTGTTCAACCCTTGATACAACAAATACTTGACACTTTCATAACTTGTTGTATATAACCAACACTTGTGCTATGAAAGGAAATTGATTTATTGTTAACATAATTTATCGTCATGAATATCTGACCACATTTACAAGTATTGACATTACTCAAATAAGATAATTAATATAATCATATTAATAATTTATAATCTGATTGAAACCTTCTATGTGAGTGGTTTCCAATTGAGTAATAAAAAGATTTTATACTATACTTGTTTGAAATACTATTAGTGGATCCTCTAACCTTAAAAATTATTTTATCCTTGTTTAATCATCATATCAATATCACATCTCAAAAATTCAATTCAACTCCTTTTCATTTGTTATTTATAGTTTTATATAGTTCAATTCTCTATGGTTCGACCCCGATATTACCGAGTTATTTATTACTTTGATGCTCCTGCACTTGAAATAAGACATCAACTTTTAAACGTGTCAACACTCAATTGGCCAACAAGCTTCTAATTTCTTCAATTTGGCTCTTGATTTGGTCAATTTCAGCCCCTGTATTCATACGTCTTTTTAAGTTTGATCTTTGGTTTTTGATCTTTTCAATCAAATCCTTAATTCTTCATCAAACTTTAATATTTATACAATTAAACTCATGATTTGATCAAATTAACTCTTAAAAATTAAAATTCGACCCTTAGATTTTAATTTCTTCCGAAAATCGAAGTGTTGTTGATTGACTTCTTTAGGACTTATGATAATTGTTCTTGTATTATTTATTAGTTAAGGGCTATTGTCAAAGCCATTGAACTATCAGCATCTAATTGTCTCTTCCAACATCAACACCTCATCATAGAATCTGACTCTGTCAATGTTATTACCTGGATGACTAAGCCTCACACCCGTCCCTAGAAGCATCATAATCTATTCTTCTCTATTAATAGACTGAAAGCATATTTTAGTTCAATCTTCTTCTCCCATATCTTTCATGAAAGTAATTGCATGGCAGATTGCATGGTCGAGGTTGTTTGTAAGAATGGATGTTGTGTGCTTCTGGTTTTGGCCATCTTGCACATGGCACAGGCACCTATATCTCTATTGACTAGTCCCTTTCTTTATAAATATGCAACTTGGATATTGTTGGTCAAAATTAATCCACAAACATTGATTTCCCATTATACATCATGAATACATGCAAAGCCTTACCTAAGAAACTGAAAATCAAATTGTTAATTAGCAAAGCAACAATCATTTCACCGTACTTCACGATGAAACTGCGCTTTATCCTATATATGACTTTTTGTTATAGTAAGATATTGTGTAGCTTCTATACTACCCTCACCAGATTTTGGCGTTTAAATAATACACGCATCTTAAAAAAAAAAAAAACGGGCACCTATATCTCTGTTGACCAGTCCCTTTATTTATAAATATGCAACTTGGATATTGTTGGTCAAAATTAATCCATAAACATTGATTTCCCATTATACATCACGAAGACATGCAAAGCCGAAACTGAAAATTAAATTGTTAATTAGCAAACCAACAATCATTTCACCGTACTTCACGATGTATAGATTAAAGGTACGAAGGATGCACATGTGCCTATGTTATATGCACAAATCTTAATTGGTTGACTTTAAAAAAGAAAAAAGAAAAGGAAAAATGATATGTTTATTCCCAGACGAAAACGTATAATCGGGCTTTCATCTAATTACTGGATGTTGCTCAATTCATCCTTGACTTTTTCTCCTTCGAAATTAATTATTAAAACAACAAGAAGAAAACAAGGACCTTTTTGTTTTAAAAAATACCATAAATTTTAATGGCTGAAGTTAACCGGGGAAAAATGCTACGTTACTTGTTACTTCAGGAGTAATTAGTTACAATTACTAAACATAGAAATAGATATTAAAAAAAATAAAAATAAAAAATTAACTATTTCTTAACTTAAAAGAGGATATTCTAATATTTTTCTGATTCGAATGTGATTTTCTTTGTTTATATTGTGAATAGAAAATAAAAATAAAAATAAAAAAAAGAAGAAGAAGAAAATTAATTATTAAAAGAAGAAAATAAAAATAAAAATAAAGAACTACTTTTTTAACTTAAAAAATCAAATATTCTTGTATATCTACTTTTTAAACTTAAAAAATCAAATATTCTTGTATATTTGTAATTCGAATGCGATTTTTTCTTTTATGTTTGTGTATATTTTAATCAATGATATATATTTTAAGAATAATATAACAATTTTCGTTAGCTAGCTAATGTTATGATAGATGTTGATAATATTTTTTATTTGCTCCTAGTAGAGAATCACCCGATAATTGAGGGACTCATATGTCTATATATATAATCACCCCATAATTGAGGGACTAATATACAAACACACACACACACACTCTTCTTAAACTCCCAAAATTAAGAAAGAGAATAGTATTAGTGCTAATTTGATAATTGATGATCGGAAATAGCTTGAAAAGAGGCAACATTCCCGGCAGCGATTACTCACCCATCACGTGGAAAAGGAGGAGATGGCGGCTCTTCATCCTCTTCATGGAGTCTTTAACTCTTACACACTGCGATGCAGTATTCATGTAATATGTCTCCCCATCTGCTTCGTAGGCCACCACCATAAATAGTACCAATATTGGAGAAGAATATAATTTCTGAAAATGAAACCAAATTTAATTTATTGTATAGTTAAGTTGATCACGAGTACGTTTCCTTTGCAATCTTGTGTTTGAATCAAATATCAAGTAATTTTTGTGTAAATGTGTTTTATACACACACACATGTGAAGGCATTAAAATTTGTTTGAATTTGTTTGTCAGAACGAGTTCACTTGAAAAATTTGTAATTTTAAACTTGCTATTAATCAGGTTTTAATTTATATTATTTTAACTTAAGTAAATTGAGGTAATTATAGTTATTATAATTTATTTAGCTTGGTCAAACTTAATTTTGATTTCTCAGGTCAGCACTAAAAAAAATAAAATTAAAATAATATTATTTTAATAATAATATTGATATGAATTGATGTAATGATCCACAGGTATAATATTATTTTAATGAAAATATTGATATGAATTGATGTAATGATCCACAGGTATAATATTATTTTAATGAAAATATTGATATGAATTGATGTAATGATCCACAGGTATAATATTATTTTAATGAAAATATTGATATGAATTGATGTAATGATCCACAGGTATAATAGTGCATGATCATATGATCATTTGAATTTGTATAATTGTTCAAAGAACTATTTAATCATGTTATCAATTACTTATCACATGGGATACGTTCATTTTTCTTCATCTAGACTCGTGACTTATAAGAACGCATGTTGCCGTACATATAATCACTATAAGTACATGCGGAGACGTGCAAATTGTTAAAGTTCAAGATTGACATATTTAATTAATTTTAATTAGTAATAATCATTTGCAGCTGACAAATGTTCAAGCAACAGCAATCCCTAGCTACAATTTGGAGGAGTGGCGGATACGAAACCACCATACACCCCTCCCTATAAATATTTTCCCTAACTGCCATTTTTGAACCATCCAACTGAACTGCCTGCCTGCCCAGCTCATAATTTCTCTCTTCTATGGCTAAGCTTGTTGTTTCATATGTAGTACTCTTCCTTTTCTGCATTTTTCAGCAGTCAAATGCAGCTTCTGCATCCTATAATGTGATCAAGTTTGGCGCAAAACCCGATGGCAAAGCTGACTCAACGCAACCCTTTCTTAAGGCATGGTCAGCTGCATGCAGCTCAGCTTCTCCCTCCAAAATCTATGTGCCTAAAGGAAGGTATTTGCTCAAGGCAACAGTGTTTAGAGGTCCATGCAAGAATAAAATTACGGTTCAGATAGATGGAACCCTTGTAGCTCCTACAGATTATCGTGCTCTAGGCAACTCAGGGTACTGGATTTTGTTCATTAAAGTCAATCGAGTTTCTGTCTTTGGTGGCACCCTTGATGCTAAAGGTGCTGGCTTCTGGGCTTGCCGGAAATCTGGACTGAATTGCCCTGTTGGAGCTAGGGTAAGTGTGCATCTACATGTGTATATATATATATAGACACACACACACACACACACACATTTGAAATTTAAAATCAATTTAGTAATTTAACAAGTTGCATTATATTTAAAATTTAAAATAAATTTAGTAATTTAACAAGTTGCATTATATATATTTTCAATTAATGCTAGAGATCCTTAACGTTCAAATAAATAAAAAAATTGCAGGGCTTGTCCATGTGGTTTCATGTATTAATTAACTAACAACAGGATGAATTTGTTAATGCAGTCTATAACATTCAACTGGGCAAATGACATCCTGATTAGCGGCTTGACATCCATCAACAGTCAATCAATGCACCTTGTTATCAACAGTTGCAACAATGTTTTGGTCCGAAATGTAAGGGTAATTGCTCCAGACCAAAGCCCTAACACCGACGGCATTCACGTGCAAACATCGACCGGAGTTACAATCACTGGCAGCACACTTCAGACAGGAGATGACTGCATATCAATCGGTCCAAGCACCAGGAACATGCTCATGAGCAGCATTAAGTGTGGCCCTGGACATGGTATCAGGTAACCTATGTTTTCATCATTAGTGTCCTAAAACAGAAGAAATGTATTCAAAAATGATATAAACATGTTTAGTTTAAGAGACTAAGAGACAGGGATATGGAGATAAATTCAGTATTTCTATATATGATGGTTTTCGACTGAAAGTTATATTCTTTTGTGATAAAAAGATATGATAGCATGTCTTGACTGTTTTAATTGCAAATTAAGAATCCTAGACAGTACAACACTGAAGTGGTTCTGATTGATTTACTGATTAATTTGTTGAACCTTAAATTCTTACAGCATTGGAAGTCTAGGCAAGGAATTCAACGAAGGTGGTGTAGAAAATATAACCTTAACAAATTCAATCTTCAGTGGATCAGACAATGGTGTAAGGATAAAATCATGGGCTAGGCCCAGCAATGGATTTGTGAGGAATGTTGTGTTCCAAAACTTGATTATGAAAAATGTGGAGAACCCCATTATCATTGACCAAAATTATTGCCCCAATAACCAGGGCTGTCCTCGTCAGGTAATTAATTACAGTATCTCAATTAGCCAATTAATTAATGTATTTAATTCATATTATGAAATCTAATTAATTTTTTATGTGTTTAATTTAATAGAGCTCTGGGGTGAAGATTAGTCAAGTGACATACAGGAACATACAAGGAACATCAGCAACACCAAAGGCAGTGACATTTCATTGCAGCCCCAGTACTCCTTGCAGAGGAATCAAATTACAAGACATAAAACTTACCTACTTGAATAAAGCAGCAACATCATCATGTAAGAACATAGGTGGAACCAGCAGTGGTGTGCTTATGCCTGAGAGTTGTGTGTAGTAATTAGGATTGATTATTATCTTTATTATTTGGATTAGTGGGTGAAAGTGAAACACACCATGTGTAAGCAGCTATTAACGCTAACATGATTGAGTGTGGCAGTAAATCCCACTGATACAAATATTGTTGTTCAATTGTAGGCTTTGAATTTTGTATCAAAATATTGCATACTGTATTTTGATTGAGATTCTAGAGACAGATATAATATATGTAATTAAAAAAATAAAAATAAAGATATAAAATAAATTTATCTCTGAATAACTTTTAAGTTAATTTTTATACTTTTAAAATAAAAAATATCAAAATATATTATTAATTTTATTGTCTCGTGACAATACTTGAAAGCTACACAACTTCAATAAAGTAAATAATAAACCATTTTTTTTTTCAATTGAAGAACCTCAATGAAACATATGATATTTATTTATATAAGCTAAAATCTATAAGGTGGGTCTTGTAGCTTTTTTATGGAGATTAGATTCCATATCCAAAATCTTTATATATGAGAGAGTGCCTAATTCAACTCATGTGAAAGCTAAGCTAGTGTTTGTCAAATAGGAAAATAGTTGTATCGTCTACCTCTCCTCTGATGTGGTAACAATTTTACATGTGTGTGTAAACCACATTATACAGAATAAATTTATACAAAGAAATTATAATATTTTTTATAAAAAATAAATTATAATATTTTATATAATATAATACATTTAAAAGTACTGGGCAAAGAGAAATAGAAGGCTTAATTTACTAGTTAGCTAATTTTTCCTATTCATATATATAGGAGTAAATTCCAGTAGTTAATGTGGAGATTACAATACTATATTAAACCTATTAGTATTTCCTAGATATATACATACTAGAATATGCCCCCTCCAGCTGAGGGTGGAGAATCGACCTAGAGTTTGAACCAAAAAATAATAAAAATAGCAATAAGAAGTAACTTGGTAAAAACTTATATAAGTTGATCCTAAGAAGAGATAAAATGAATCTAAATCTCTTTTCTGGCAAACTTGTCATGCACAAAATAATAATTAACCTCAACATATTTAGTACGAGCATGAAAGATAGGAATCATAGACAAATAAGTAACACCGAGATTATCACACTAAATGGTAGGAGTAGAGACAGAAAGAATTTGCAGATCTCTTAATAAATACTAAAGTTAAATAACCTCAGTTATGTCATCTGATAAGGCTTTATACTCAACCTTGATAGAAAAATGGGCAATTATGTGTTGCTTGCTTGATTTCTATGAAATCGGTGTTTGACCAAAGAAAACAAGGTAACCATCCGTAAACTTGTAATCATCGATACTACTTGTTCAATCTACATCTATAAAGCCATGTAGAGCAAAGGAGGAATTGTGAGTGATATGTAAACCATAGGATGTCATACCCCAAAGATAACACAAAATACATTTAACAATAGCCTAATGAGAATCTATAAGAGCATGCATAAACTGACAAATTTTGTTAACAACAAAGTAGATATTTGATCTCTTAAAGGTGAGATATTAAAAAGCACCCCTGATTTGACAAAACCATATAGGATTAGAAAATAAAAAATCTGGCAGTATGGTAACTTTAGAGGTAGAGATAGAAGTATCAACAGGTTTGCAAAAACTCATACCAACCCGAGTGAGGATGTTAAGAATATATTTATGTTGTCATAACATCAAACCCATACCCGTGGACTGAACCTCAATACCTAAAAAAATAATGAACAGCACTTAAGTTATGAAGCTTGAACTCTAAGTTCACCAAATGTATTAGGCGGTGAAGCATAATAGAGTTACTACCCATAAGCAAAATGTCATCGACATAAACCAGAAGATAAAAGATATCAGCACCAACAGACAAGATAAATAAGGAGGTGTCAACCTTAAAAGCATGAAAGCCAATACAAAGCAGAAAATCACTTAGATGAGTGTACCATACCCATGAAGCCTATTTTAAACTATATAAAGACTTATGCAACTAGCATATATGGGAAGAGTAGAGTTAACAAAACCTGAAGGTTGTTTAATGTAGACCTTTTCCACAAGGACGCTATTAAGAAATGCATTATGGATATCAAGTTGATAAATCTTCTATTCACGTGAAACCATAATTAAAAAGACTAATCTAATGGTTGCTTACTTAATAACAAGACTGAAAGTTTCAGAGTAATCAATGTCTTCTTGCTGAATATAACTTCTAGCAACTAGACGCGTCTAATGCCTCACAACACTGTCATCCATAACATGTTTTATCTTGCACACTTGCCAACTACTAACAATATTCATCGAAGGATGGAAAGGGATCGGGGACCAATTGTCGTTAGAGCACACACTACTAAAAGTTCAACAAATACAAACAAAATTACTAATGGCTTTTTTTCGTTGGTATTTTGCAGTGATATTTACCAACATAACTTTTTCAATCTCTAAAATCATCGATATATACCAATAGAAATAATTTGTTGGTATATACCAAGATAATCCCAAACGGAATATAAAGAATAAAAAAAAAGTTGTACAATGAAGTGTAAGTTTTTATAGATAATTTTACCAACAGAATTACAGTCAGATTCAAATCGGGTTGTCTATATAGTGACATGTCAAAAACACCAACAGAATTTGTGATGGAGTGATAGATGGAATAATTTCATCAATAATTTCATCAATAATATTTAATATATGATGAGGCATCGACCCTCCCCTCCTCTATTTCTCCTTTTTCTTTCCCTTACATCCCCCTACATCTAAACAAACCCCCTCCCCAACAATAACAAACAACCCTCTCCCCCCAAACATCCCCCTTCAATTCAACACAAAATTTTCTAGTCTCGACATCCGTATTCTGATTTGTTGTAGATTTTTTTTTAGAGTAAGTAAATCTATTATTTTTTTAATTATAATACAATTTTAAAATGTTAATTTTATTAATGAGTGTTTTTTTTAGAATATATATTTTGTTTGGATGCTTATTTGTTTTATTGTTTTTCTCAAACATGTAGTATAAATGTATAATTTTGTACTTGTTTGTTTTAGATTTCGTAAAATTTTATTTGTTTGTAAATTGTTGAAACTTATATCAAATTACCTACTTAAGTGTGTTGTAATAAAATAAATAATGGCTTGTTTAAAGGGTTCGTTTTAATTTTTATCAATTTGTAAGTTAATGCGCATAAATTTTTATGTATGTAGATAATTAATAATGAAAATTTAAGAGAAGTTTGACATTAAGTTGGATAATCTTGAGCTAAACTAATATTTTTGCAACTTATTTACTTAACATAAAATAAATCTATCTTCGGAACATCTTTTAAATCAATTTTTATACTCTTAAAATAAAAGGTGTCATAATATATTACTTAGATAGGGAGTATTTAGGGTGTCAATACCTTCTGTTTGCGCAACCAGTCCTCTTACCTAATCTCTGAAACCAGTTAGAGTTTCTAGTAATCAAAATGCGAGGTAGCAACTCCTTTTTTCTCATTCCACTATTAAAAAAGAATTCTTTATCTTCCCCATTTTCCTGATTACCTAGATAAATATCTGAAAGAGTGGACAATTTACTGCAACGCCACACATGTGCAACATAACTTTTACAGATTCTTGATCGACATTATAGTGTGACACTACATTAAAAAAATAATAAGATTTTATTGTTGTTGATATAGTGAGAAAATGAAGAGTTAAAATTAAATTTAAAGAGCGCTCAAGCTTTTAAAAGAAAAAAAAACTTAAGTAAAGTAGCTTTGGACCTAAGTCACAATCGTGCTTGGCCATGGGCCTTGTCTTAGGCTTGGGTTTAGTTTTACCATAACATAATTTCTTCTACAAAAGATTGTATTTTATTAACTTATAATTCTTTAAACCATAAAGAATTTTTTTAGCCCAATAGTTTATCCAACCCATAAATAAAGTCTTAATAACTAGTCTTTTTCTTTGTTGTAACCCATTTTTGGGTCCCCGCACAAAAAAAAAGAAGAAAATACAAAAAAATCAAAAACATATAGTCAGAAGAAATCTTAAAAAAATTAGCTGTGAGAATAGGAGGCCGAAACACCTAGAAAATGGTTAGCAATTGATTGAAAATGTTCAAAAATATAAAAATTAAAATTTGACAGTATATAATTGATTAATGAGAGCCCAATTGAAAAAACATAATTTAAAAAGAAAAGTTCAAAATCAATTTTTTATGGGCTCAATTGAATTTTATAGAAGGTTTAATTGAATTTATGAAAAGTTTGATTGCAAGAAAAATTAGTTTTTAAGTTAATTAGGCTTTAATTGAAAGAAATTAAAGTTTTGTGATCAAATTATAATTTTGTAGAGTTGATTTAGTCAAATTAGAGGTTTAATTGTATAAATATTAAAATTTGATGGCCAATTAAAAATTTAATTAAAAAAATCTAAAAGAATCAAATAGAAAAAACATGCAAAAAGAGGAATTGATTTGAAAATTAATGTTTTGACACCTTTTCTCTTTTAGGATGATTGCTCCGGCCAAAGCCCTAACACCGACGGCATTCACGTGCAAACATCGACCGGAGTTACAATCACTGGCAGCACACTTCAGACAGGAGATGGTATCATGCTAACATCTCAATCGGTCCAAGCACTAGGAACATGCTAATGAGCAGCATTAAGTGTAGCCCTTGGACATGGTATCAGGTAACCTATGTTTTCATCATTAGTACTGTTGTAAAACTGAAGAAATATATTCAAAAATAATATAAACATGTTAGAGACAAGGATATGAAAATAAATTTATATTCTTTCGAAATAAAAAAGATATGATAACATGTCTTGACTGTTTTGACTGCAAATTAAGAACCCTAGCCAGTACAACATTGAAGTGGTTCTGATTGATTAATTCATTTGTTGTACCTTAAATTCTTACAGCATTGGAAGTCTGGGCAAGGAATTCAACGAAGATGGTGTCGAAAATATAACCTTAACAAATTCAATCTTCAGTGGATCAGACAATGGTGTAAGGATAAAATCATGGGCTAGGCCCAGCAATGGATTTGTGAGGAATGTTGTGTTCCAAAACTTGACTATGAAAAATGTTAAGAACCCAATTATCAATGACCAAAACTATTGCCCAAATAACCAGGGCTGTCCTCGTTAGGTAATTAATTACCGTATTTCAATTAGCTAATTAATTAAG